AAGAAATTCAGCTTACACTGCAGGGTTATGATTTTCTTCTGTTGCCAAGGATTCATGTGTGTGTTATGTATTCTGTAGGTGGTCGTGGGTTCACCAGACGAATCAAGGATGTCCTGACTACTGAACTGCAGCAGTTCATTTTGCCAGAGAGAGGGGTTTGCATTTTGGGACCATAACAGTTGTTTTCCTGTGTGGATCTGGCACAGAAAAGGATTTGTAACCATTCTGAGTTGACAGAAGACACACGCACAGATTTCCACCCCCTCACACCTCCCTGAATTTACTTGGAAGCGAAGGACTATGAATGGTACAGCCACGTTAAAATAATTGAGCAGCTCTGACTCACAGTTGCAGCTTGTGTGTAGCTAAATGAGACAGCAGAGTGATGCTGCCTGACTGACACAGTTGTTTATGCAGTCACTGAAGTATTCTCCCATCATGTGCAGGCCTTTGAGTTGTTTGGTATTACCTTTATTAAGGAGGGAGAAATCCTTCATAATGCTGATGACTTGTTTTATTTTCTTGGATACCCTCAGATTCCAAGAGTTAGAAGCGTGACTAACAGAAAGTTATTGCCTACAAAAAAGCAAAACATTACTTAAAATACAGCAAAGCTGCCTTTCCTAAAAGCAAAGCCAGCCAACGCATTTTTTAAGATTAAAATTTGGTACATGTATGAGGAATTTACTGATTTAGGATTGTTCTAAGTTTAATGAAACTTTTCTTGTCTGATCAGAATTCTGGTCTTTAAAAATCTTCATAGGAATGATTATTAATTATGAGAAGGGGTGAATTGAAGTCCTTTTTTTTGTCACAATTGATGCCAGTTTGGGATTTGTAGAAACTTTAGAGGGGTCAGACTCATCATGGGAAAATCAGTGGGTTTGTAGTTGTTGGATAGTTCAGTGTTCCTTATTTACTGCAAATGATAGTTAAATGTTCTATTTAAAATCTGTATTTCCAAGCAGTTTGATGGCCATTCTGTTTGTGGTGTGCTCCTCTGGCTGGACTTGACTGGTGCTTCCATTCTTTTGGGGGCAGTTGACCTTAGCACAAGCCCATGCTCACTGTCATGAGGAAAAAAAATATTTTCTTGCTATGGGTGAGCTGAACCCTGCCCAGTCTTCAGTGTTCTATTTTCTTCATGTCCTTGTAAAACACCTTTTAACTCCTAACCAAAGGAGTCAACTTTGCTCCTGAAGAATGTTTGTGGTTGGCCTTTCTTTTCTTCTGCTGCAGACAAAGAAATTGGAAGAACTGTCTTATTTTTCTGGATTATTTTTTCCAGGGCTGTCTCTTACATTTCTAAATTTTTATGAGGCCTTGAAAGTACTTACATTTATAATTCCATTAAAAATGAGATTATATTTGTAAATGTATGTTCCTACTGACATGTAGGAGCATGGTTTAAATGCTGTTTACTTGTGCAGTAGGCTGAATAAGATCAATAGAGATGCACATCATTAAAAGCACTTCAGTCAGCCATAATGTGAATCCATTCCCAGTGATCCATTCAGCCCTCAAAGGGTCATTGATGGAGGCCTCTTTTTTATTTTTCTGGATTTGTTCATTGACTTAGTAAGGTTTGCACCTGCAAGCAGGGCTGCTACAGAAAGAACCCCTCTAGTACCAGTGATAGCAAGCACAAGCTTCATCCAGAGGGGAAGAAAGTCAGGCTCTGAATTTAGCTGCTGGTTTTGGTTACCACTTGGTTGTTACTGTGAGGTCCAGAGCCACTGAAGTTTCCCTAAGGCTAAATCAGTTTGCTTGCAAAAGAAGGGTCAAGATTTTGTAGCAGTTGTTTTAATGACTTGAGAGTTGAGCTTGCAAGTCTTAAATCTGTGGTGTTGCTTATATGTGTTAAGCTGAGACACAGCTGGAACTACAGAAGAAAAACACCTCCACACACAGGAGTAAAGGCTGTGTTGTCCTAGGAGCTGTACAGATTGAGAAAGCAAGATTCCTGGCTGGAATGACATGGCTTTCATTTTCCTTTTGGATGAGGAAATGAAAATATAGAAGTTGATGAAAATATAAGACCTGATCATCAAGTCTTAATCATCAGTCTCGTGATGCTCTGGGGTTACTGTGGTGCTTGTGAATGAACAATAACCTGGAATATTGCTCTGAGTTCTAGAACCTGTCTGATGCCTGTGCATGTAACTGTGAAAACTTGATATTTTCATGCTCAGCCTGATTTTACAAATGAGCCTCAACTGCTCCTAAATTCAGCCCCTGAGACATTCGCACATAGCGAGTAGTGCCCCTTGAATTCCATGCACGGCTGTTACTATGGGGAAACATTGAAACAAATTAAGACTGTTGTACTTGTAAGAAGTTACTTTGAACAGTAACTTCTGAGTTACTGTTCAAAACTCTCCACTTTCTGTTCTCAGAATTTATGGTCATGGCCTTAAATTCCATATAAAATCGGTGAGGGATGTCAGTAGAGTTACATACTGGTACCAGTTTGTGATCTGCAGAACCTACTGAATGAGTATCAGTACAATGCTGAAGTCCAGGTCTACCTGTATCAATTTCTATTTATTGAATATAATACTTTAAAATATGCATGAAACATGGCTTAATTTTTTCTTGGGAGCTTGGTGAACTGAATTTAGCAAGACCATCTAGAGACAAAGATAGGGAATTTTTTGAAAGAAATTTAAATACTTTTTCTTTAAATTTGGGTGAACAGCAAATCTCCTGAACTGGAGAAATAAGTCAGTATTAACCAATTGTAAAGCATTCAATAATAAATTTTTCATTAACATTAGGTGAGACTATTAAAAATTGTGGAGTGCCCTGAAAAAAAGCATTCACATAGGAATATGTCTTGATTTCAAATGAGAAGTGAGCAGTAACAAATAGAATATGACATATATTGAAAGATACTAGTTGGAGTACTCAAAAGCTTTGTAGAGTTCTTCTGTTAGATAATCTTTGTTTTCAGGAGGCAAAACTGAGTAGGTTATCTTTGTAAAGAGATCCCTAAAATACTCTAGTGAGCTAGAGTGGTTTTTTAAGGGGAAAAATTAAGTTATGCTTTGGAATAAACAAGAAGAAGCAAGAAATGAAAATAACAGATCTCAGTAAGGTTTCCTTAGTCAGATGGAGTGGAAATGTTTCAGTGATTCACTTTTGAAAGGAGATGAACAGTGGAAGTACAGGAATCATCATGAAGCGGAACAGGTCATTTTGCGCATCAGGTGCCAGTTTTCATAAGATTAAAGCTATTGAAATTGATAGGTGACAGTTTTTAAAGAAGAAGAAAGGAAAAAAATAATTCCAGAACTATCCTGTGTAGCTCTATAATGTAAGATCTTATTTTCCATCACTCCTGTGAGACCACACTCAGGCCAGGAATCACTCTGACTCTGGATGCCTTTATGGGCCTTAGAGACCATCATGGTCTGATTCTTGATCATATCCTTTGCCAAATGCCTGTTTTGTTTTCATCCTGATGGTTCATCACTGTTAAAACTTTCATAAGACTCAGACATACAACTCATCTTTGCTTTCAGTGTTTCCTTCCAGCTCTTTGATAGCACTTACTGGCTTCTCACTTTTCTGAGGCCATGATTTTTCCATTGCTGTCTGCCTACAACTTCAATCAGGCCTTTACAGCTTTTTTTCTCTGTTACCATGTACATATTATATTCAAATATACGAATGAAAGGTCCTATAAACATTTACAAAAATATTAACTTCAAATTCTTTCTAAAAAGTGGTTTCCTGTGGTTTATGAAAAATCTTGACAGTGATTAAGTGACCAGTGCACAAAGCAATTGATGATCATGACAAACAATATTGATTCATTTTCTGCCTTCTGCTGCCCTATCCATTTCTGTTGGTCTGTATAGTCTGGGTTTGTAAAATATTTAGTGCTGGGATATGTTTTTGTCCTGGCTGTGGATCTTAGTTTGTGATTACTGCTGGGAAGGTTGCTAAAAATGCACATTGAAAAGTGGGAAAATTATTTAATAGAACTTGGAAAAAAATTCTCTGGTAAGAGAGATTGGCTTATCTGTCTCAGCATCTAATGTCACGGCCCTCTCACAGTAAAGAATTTCCTCCTAAACCTAATGTTAGTATAATTAGGAGTTTATCTGTGAGTGGAGGTAAGCAGACTAGTCTTTTACACTGAGCCATGAGATGCTCCTAGGTCCATACCAGTAGTTAAATATTTAATGTTTCTTATTAATCTGATGTATCCATAAGTGCCAATTTTAAACTTACAACAATTAATAGTAATTTATGGATCACAGAAATGAAACAGTAGAGGAAAAATAATGGTGCCAGTCTGGAATGAAGATCGCTTTGGAAGTCCCAGACATGTAGATATTTTACTTCTATCATTAAAAAAATTATAAAACTTGCAAAGAATAAATAGATCACATCACTGAGTCAGCAGGTGTAAAGCATCTTCTCTTCTGCTTGTTTCTTTTGTTGAACACAGTTATATTTGTGAGGGGTTAACCCTTAGGATGGATGGTGTAAAGGTTGCCTAGTGTGAAGTCCTAATTTCAAGGAAATTTTCATGTTCTGTTCTTTGAAGGGGTATTGACTTCCAAATCACACACAGACATGCCTCTGATCTTCCTGGGGATGAGTCACAGTGCAACGTGGATGCAAAGCACTGGCATCAAATTTGCAGCGTGTTGATCACTGCTGATGACAGGACGAGATGTTCTCTAATCCCATGTGTGGGGTTATAGAGGGTGCTTTATTAAAAAACAGGACTTAGAACTATTAAAAGCAGAGTGCTGAGATTTTGTTGATTTGAGGGGTTTTTTATTAGTGCTCTGCTGTAGATTTTAAAGTATAATAAAGTAACAAATGTTACCTTGAGCTTAGTGGCTTTAAATGGTGGGTTACTTTACACTCGGAGTGGAGCTTTCATTGTCAGGCGATCGCTTTTCTTTTTTTTTGCGACCATAAGCACTCAGCTGAAACAACAGCTATGACTCAGTTGACAGTGAACGCTGCTTGAATTGATTTAGTCCGAGTTCAGATTTAGCACATAATCATGTTCAATTTGATCCACTGTGCTGCCTAGAGATAAAAGGGTTGAAAAAATAGATTTAGCTTATGTCAGTCTTTGTGGTGATGTCATTGCCATGAGAGATGGAATAGCGCTGTTACTATGCTGTGCCTGCTCAGTTGGTGGGTGTACGGGGGACAGGCAACCAGCAACTCACTTTAAGTGCACAGAGCTCGTGTTGGAGGCTTGCAGGCATTGCCAGCGCTGAAACTGAATCTTGGACTGTTCAATTGCAGTACTGAAGATTTTTTTTTTCATTGTTTTGTTGTTTTTTTCCGTCGTTTGTGACTCTGAGCTTGCCTAACTCTGTGTTCAAAGGCGGGGGATGCCAGCCCGTAGCATGGACTGTGATGTTTCCACTCTGGTTGCCTGTGGGGTTGATGTGGAGGTTTTTGCCAGCCAAGAGGTTAAGGTATGCGCCTACAATCCTTTTGTTGCTTGTCAGAAAAGCCTTTGGGAGCAATAGGCATTTGAATGTAGCAATTGAAAATAAGAGGGCAGATGAGATTCTGCTGCGGTGGTAAAAGACACGCAGTTAAAAAAACCTGTTATTTAGGGGAGAGAAATATGGGAAAGGAAATGTGTCTGCTTTTTACTGTGTTTTGATAAGCTGAAAGAATAGCCTAGTGTTTACTCTTTAATGATATAAGAAATGGGTTATATAACTGACATCTGTGCATATGCATTTTTCATATTCATAAAAAATCTTTCATTGTGTTAATTTTGTCAAGTTAATTTTAGTCCAATGTCACTTTTTAGATCAGCCTTACCATAAATGTTATTTATTGATGTTGATAACCTTCAGATATCTTTACTCAGTTGAACAGTAGCTGTTTCTTTTCTTCGCATTCAAATCAAATATGCAAGCATAAATTTTTTGTGAAGGGTTGAAAGTTTATAGTAAGTGTCTTTGTGCATCTGCAGTGTAACAGAACACAAAAAGTTATGCATCTTGCGTATCATATGCCTACCTGAAAAACAATGCTTAAACCTAAGGCTTGATATGCAGGGCTCATAGTCTCTTAATTAGACAACTGCTGTAGAAAAGTCATTGTGTGTAATTGCTTACTGTTGAAATAAATTAATTTTTTCATTTATTCTCATATTACTGCAAGAAAATCACTGCAAAGTAAGTTTGAAAGAGGAATTCTAAGTATGTTTTTCACAGATCAGCTGAAGGAGCTCATAGATATAATAGAGTGATATTCAGCAGTTTATAAAGGACAAAGGTACAGACAAAATTAGTTTCTAATCTGATGGTTCTTAGTATTGAAAGACTGGAACCAGGTAAGAAGGATTTACAAATTGGAGGTCAAATTTTGAACCTCTGTTCTGTTTGGTTCTGAGTCAAACATTGAAGCCACTGGAAATAAAACTATTTTGTTTTGCAAGAGGTTCTGATGATTTTTATTTCCCTGTTAGTTTGTTGCTCCTTGAGATAATTTATACTTTATACAGATGCTTTTGTGTTGGCACCAAGAGCTTCTTAATTTAAGAAGCTTTTTTCCTAACAGTTAACAGTGAATTTAGAGATGAAAAAGTGAGTAATTCATAGGAATGATTCAGGTGAGGAGTCTTGCCTGCATTGGGACATGTTTCTTGTATTATTTTGAAGTAGTAAAATGTTTATCTGCTCTCTTCTCTTCTCTTCTCTTCTCGAGTATTTTCTTTTAACGTGTAGGATTTACACCTGCATTGATATGATCTTGTATCTCGGTCTTTTGGTGTCTGGTCCATGTTTGATGTAAGACCATGCAAGAAATTAGTGAGCTTCTTGTATCCTCATGCTATTCATATGTCAATAGCAATGCAAAAGCAAAATTTTGACTAATGTATTTCAGCAGAAAGCATTCCACTGACATGGGTAAGACTTAGATTAGCCTGATTTAAGCTGCAACATCTATAAAGTGTGGGCCAGGAATATGAGATAAGAGAACAAAAGGGTTACAGAGACATTACAGGAATTGTAACCCTTTTGTGTTACTTGGACTTTCTGTACCTTTTTTGCTTTGGTTAAAGCTGCCCTGTTTTGCTTTTTTCCTCTCTTATGTTTGAATTAAAATGTTGATTGCAAAGACTTTGGGTATATTTACAGTGGGGACTGCACTGCAGACTGCACTGCAGCTTAGAAATGCAAAGTCTACTTTGAAGTTGCCTGACTTAGAGGGTGTGAGCAGTGTGTGCTCTGTGACCCACAGCTCACTGCAGGCTCCTTTCCACTGGCCCGTCCCCAAACTCTTTTGTGGAGGCTGTGGCCAGCTCTGTGCTCATTCTCGAGCTCCCAGTGCAGCAGCCTGCAGTGTGGGCATCCTCTCTGTGAAAGTTTCACTGCTGCTAATAATTTAAAGCTGGAGATACCTACTGCTCTTTCCTCACTTCCAGGAGAATTGCAGGGAAAAAAACATTAGGGCTTTATTTTTTGTATGCCAAAGGGCTCATTTCAAAGTGAGGTTTTTTGATGACATTATGGTCACAGCAAAGAAAAGTTTATGTTGACTTTGATAGGATGGAACAAGTCTAGGGTTAAAAAGGAAGGAGGCTGTTTCTGAGAAGAGATGGGTGTGGAAGTTGAAGGGCAAAAGCAAGTGCAGAATTCCTGTCTTCTTCACCTATTCTGTGAGTATCCCTCTGCCCAACCCTTTTGTGGGTCATCCTGAAGGCACAGGTAGCATTGACAACTGAAGTCCAGGCTACTGTCCCTTCTCTGATAAAAGGTTTTATTGCAGGGAACCTTCTCCCTGTGTGAAAAGAATGTTCCCTCAGGGGTAGAACAGATATGGAAGATCTTAGAATACGTGGTGGTTGGTGAGATGCACTAAGATGAGCTGTTAGTCCTGTAGAATAGTTCTCTGACGTCAGCACGGGTTGTGTTCAGGGTTTAGGATATGCTTACAGCATATCTCACTTTTGTTTCAGTTTAGGTTTAGAAATAACACGTGGCTTGGGAGGGGGATGCTTATGTTACTGAGTCATTGTTCTCCCATGAGGTTTGGGACAAGGATGCTGATGTTACTGAGCCATTGTTCTCCCATGAGGTTTGGGAGAAGGATGCTGGCAACACGGAGCCGTTGCTCTGCACTTTGCAGCACGTGTTGACTGCAGCTGCAGGTTGAGGGTGTGAGGAGCCTGCCAGGACTGCAGTAGCAGATCTTGGTGTGTTAAGGTTCTGGAGCAGCAGTTCCCACAGCAGGTGGCAATGGGGACTCCTGGAAGTTGCCACTTCTCAGGATCATCAGTCACTCAGAGCTGGGGCATTCTTATGTAAAGCTGGCTTTGGGCACAGGACTTGGAGCAGAGGGATCTCTCCAGCTTATTGCTGCTTTTCCACCTCTGGAGACCTTATTTTGTAGGCATTATGCCCTTAGCATCTGGCAGTCAGGCTTGGAAACACTCTGTTTCCATTTGGCCCTTGGAACAGGGGAGCAGTTATTTAGTACTGAAGGCAAAGCTTTTTAGTTGCTGCAATTGGAGCTGTTCATCCTTTCAATGTACAGAGGCTTATATGGGTACCTTGGCTGTGGCAGCTGGCCACCAGCACTGACACCATGGGTTTGGCACCCATTAACTCATCCAACAAGCCCTTCACCTCTGATCACATGCTGCTTTGAGTTGTCTTTCTAATCCAAAAATTGGGTCAGGCTAATCAACATGCTACTGACTGTAGATCAGGAACTAGAAGAGTTGAGAAGGCATCCAGAGAAATCACAAAGTGCAGTTCTTCTTTGAAGTTTACCTGGATAATTAAGATTCTTTCAGTGCCTCTAGATGATAATTTCATGTAATGATCTTTATTATATAAATAATTAGTTAATGAATATCTTGTTTATTTCTAATAGAGAAATTCCAGACATAACCAAAACAGTGGAAGATAATTTAAACTTCTATTTCTTATTTTAAGAAATGTGGTTTTATATGATTAATTCTACATATTCTCTCCTCACTTTTGTTCACACAGACCATTCCACTCAGAAACAAGGTAGAATTGGTGCAACTTGGCACTGCTGTAATAGAGAAGAAATACTAATGGTCCAGATGGATCACATTCTGAAGACAGTAATGTAATGTGGATGGGACTGTTATCTTAACACAGGGGGAAAAAAACCTAATGTGTACACGAGCCAGGCAGCAAAGGGAAATGGAAATAGTTTCACTGTTTGGACTGTTGCTTTGGAGGATTAATCCTCATTGGAGCAGGTTCTCTGTCAATTTGTAAACTCATTACTCAGTTCAGATGCTCCCTGCTAATGAGAGTTGTTTGGGATGGATGGGTTGGAGGTTCAGTCACTATCCTGCCTTTGAGAGGTTTAGCAGTCTAAGCTTCTGAGATCTAAAGGGCAAAAGCACACTAGATGCTTGTGGTTTTTGCTCTCCAATTCTCCACTTGTCTAAGTGGCTCATTCACAAAGATGTTCTGAGGTTTAAAGTTTAAGTGCTCTAGGGTCAGAGTCAAGTGAAGAAAACTGGAGAAAGGGGGAGAAGTGTTTCTGCCCCTCTGGATGGTGCCAGCTGTCCAGTGGCAGGAAGCATGACTTGCTGGGAGAGTTTCTGGGTTTCTGTCTTTACATCCTTCTCCTCAGCCATGTGAGCTCGATCCGTGGGAAGAGTCTGTTGCACAGTCATAAGACTTCACAGACGGGCTATAAGGAGGAAGCCAAACAACAGTATGACTGCCAAAAATACCCTGATGGCTAGAAAGGCCTGCTCTATATCTTCTCTTGGTATTTTCTGTAGTTGGTGCTTCTTTCTAATTGCAGATAACGTTGAGTCTGTGAAATCTGCACGACCCAAGAGTTTTGCTAGAGAAATAGAAGTGCATGTCTTTTGATCTCTGCTTACTGTGTTCATCTTGAGCAAGTAATGGAGAGGAGCTTACCAAATGCTGTAGTGCTGTTTCCAGGACACTGACCCTGCTCTTGGCTTCAGGATCAGCACAGAAAGACTCTGACAGCAAAGCTGGGGCTTGTGCAGCCAGTGCTGTTGCACACTGAGGTGCTCCCAGTGGCAGTCACAGGTTGGGCTTTGCCTCTGTCCTTCTAACACCCTTCTGTGAAGGCAGCTGGACTCTTTAGGGAAGTTCCCAAAGAAATGATAGACTGGTAAATCTTCTAAAGGTCATAATATGCTCATTAGACTGATCTTCACTTATTTGCAGTTGCTTTTCCCTTGCCTCAGAAGAAGGGGGTGCTGCTGTTTCACCAGAGGAACACTGGGGAGATGGTGATTTTCTTAAGTAGATTTGAAGAATTAATCCATGCAGCTATAGATTAACATCCTTGTAATATGGATACAAGTATGGTACTGGTTTTTCATTAAATAATTACTTAAATTCAAATTTTTAGAATAAAATTAAATTTCTAAGAAGAACCTAGAGGGAGATAAAGTACCCAAGCTCTTTCTCTTCTTCTCAAAAAA